ACCGAAACATGTCTCTCACGAGGGACAAAAATTACACGAGCTATCCAGACAAGGGTCTCAATTTAACTTCAGCGCTGGAAATACATAACTTTTGCTCACCAGGTTGACATAGATCGATCCTCCCCATACGATTCGGCTACCGACGCGGTCCTGCGTTGGTCCGTTGAAGGTTTTTTAATCAACGTTGACCAATGGTCATTATAACGCTCGTTTAGAGCTCCGTAACGCCGTCGGGGTGGGGAAGGCCGGCGGAAACGGTGTCCCGACGAGTAATAAACGGCGGGACGAGCAGGATATCGGCACCGAAAGAGTCCCTTCGTTACGGGACGACCGTATTTCACGGGCGTTAACGAGCGCCGCCGCGTTTTGTCGGCGATAAACTTGCGACAGCCGCGACAGATACGAGAACGAATGTCCCCCTGGGTTCAAGCGGATCGACGAGGAAACGTCAAAGCACGGGGAGCCGCGATTACCGCGCTTCTGACCCGTGCTACGCTTCAAAATCCGTCGACGATTGATCGGATCTGACCTGGACCCATGTTTCGTCGCGTTTGATAAGGAACACCCTCCTCCCACACTCTACCTCGTAAATTTTCCCCAGCAGCGTTCGCAATCGAATTTCAACAGGGAATTTTTTGAGTCGAGCTTCGAAGCTTTGCACCCTGCGATAGGTACTCGGATAAATATTGCATTATTTTTTTTTTTTTTTTGTAAATGGAAATAAAAAGTAGATAATTGACGTTGACCCTTTGCGAGCTGAACTTTGTTCTGATCCGGGCAAAAGTGGTTCGTTGGAGAAATGGTAACGAGTAGCACATCATCGAAATTTATCAAATTGCTAGAAGTCTATTATTTCATTTTTAATTCATGTCTAAAATTCACTCGGTACTTTATTTCGTACGTTTATCTTTAAGTAATAATTTTTCTGAGTACCCTATACCTAAATTTTCAAACATGGATCATAAATTACTTACCACTATATAAATAAATTTATTCACCTGCCAGGAGTCTATTATTTAATTTTTAATTCAAGTCTAAAATTCGCTCGGTACTTTATTTCGTATGTTTACCTTTAAATAATAATGCTCCTGAGCGTCCTATAGCTAAATTTTGAAAAAATTATAATTACCCGTTCCAAAGTGCCGCAATGTACTCAAGAGAAAATAATAGGAAATCATGCAAGATATTCCCGCCCCGTTTTCTTTTTCCATTTTCTCCAGTCGCCGGAATCGCCCTGTATAAATAGTCGACGGCGTCGTATCCGAAACTAATCGCGTTAAAGGCAAAAAAAAAAGAAGAAGCCCGAGGTCCCATTGGTCTAGATAACGACGCCAATTCGCTTGCGGGAAACGTCGCGGTCTTAAAAGCATCGAGGGAGGTCCCTGATACTTCCGAGAATATTATAATATAATGAACACCGAGGGACTCGTGACCCGACCGCGTCGATATTGACTTTTCTAATTAGACCTGGCCGAGCACTGGAACAAACTGCCCCCGATCCTTAACCTTCGTTCTCTCCCATCGCTAAGTAGGAAGTCTTGAACGAGCCCCAGCGAGCATTCCCTCGGGAACCACCGACAGCAAGTCTCTCGGCAGCAGGTGTATCGATATTATCAGAATCCGAGGATTAATACGTTCGTTACTTTCGAGAAGAACGCGATAAATGTATTTAATACTCGAGGGTTGGGTCTTCAAGTTTGACGAGGGTTTTACAAAATGGGGATTAGTTCTTTGAATCTTTAAAAATAGAAAATAATTAACGGGTATACAGTCGGAGTGGCTTTCAGAATTGATATGGTCGTTACTTTCGAGAAGAATGAAACGAGGGTTATTCAAAACAGGAATTCATGAAAATACGAAATAAGCATACAGAGGATATAAATAAGAATAACTACACGCTACTATTAATTGAAATAATTTTTAATTTAAAAATAGTTAATTTAAAAATACTATGATATTGTGTTATAGAATACTTTATAACATTTGTCGTTGTAATTCCCGGTTCGTAATTTCATTGTCCCGCGACAGTGTACATACGTATGTAGCAAGACAAGTGAAATGTCGTCTGGTTCCGTCCCGACAGATAGAGCCCGCCGGCGAAATTAGTTGAACTGATCAATCCTAGACCAGACAAACAGACCAGGACTCCTTTGATCGCTCGAGTAGAAAGTGATTCCCTTGATCGGACAGGTAGAGCAGACTCTCGGTCAAATAATTGGAACAGGTCGTCCTTGGTCAAACCAGAGGCGCGGGAGTCCCTTGACCAGTCGAGTAGAATGCTACTTCTATAGTCAGACGGAGTGAACGCAATCGCTCCTCCAGAAAACCATGGACGCCTTCGTAAATAGGCACCAGACATCTATTAAGAGATTTCGTTATAATTTTTAACCGACTTTGAAAAAGGTTACTCAATTCGACTTGTATATATGTATATATATGTATATAATATATATATCTTTTTTTTACGTTGTGACATTTTTCATTTGTGCTGGAAATTTGCATATCTTCAGGAGTCATAGAAACAGAGCATCACAAAAATTTAATTCTTAGACTTGATATACCTGAACAAAGAATGATATAAAAACAAAACAAACGTATTTAAATTAAGATATATCTGCAATATATAGTCTCGTAAATATTTCGTACTGTCTATGACTATTTAAGAAATTTATATGAATTGAATAATGGATTTGATGGTGCCATTATAAATATGTATATGAATATACTTTACACTGTTATATACTTATAAAGAAAAATTTATTCTGAAACATCAAACCTGCTACAATTTAATTCAGTCAAATTTCCTCAATAGACACGGAGCGTATGAATATTTATGGGATTGGCTGTACATCCTAGCCTTATCTTTAAGAATTATGAAGACAGAGCACCTAAAAAAATTAAATTCCTAACTTTCCGAATTTCCGGATAAATAGCTCCGCAAGCATGTCACGCGATTAATAGTCCCCTTCCCAACAAGAATCTTCTTCGATTTATATCTTCACCACCTTCCCTGTCTTCCTCTCAGAGGTGTCCCTGCGGGATCGAGCCCAATAAGACCAAGATTTTCGCCTTCAGAAATTTCCTCCCAACCCGCCACGTCGGACGCACGTCGGCGTTTCGACCGCGCATAATTCCGGTGTTTGTCGCGCGGGGATATTAATTCGAACGGTCGTGAAAAGTTGTTCGGTTTTATTGAATCGTCCCGGCCGCTCCCAGCGGGCTTTAAAAGTTACGGATTATACGGACGTGCCGGTTCGCCAGGCGGGAATGGAACGTCAGCTTTTGATTTATGCGCCGGTAATCTTCTTGCCGGGTATTATTAAAAACAGCGCGATACGCACCGTCGACGGTGAATATATTGTAAACACGTTGTAATACCATTTGATCGTAATGCCGATATTTTTCATCGCGAAACGCCAAATCCCATCGAAGCTTAACCTTTCTGGCGCAGCTGTCGGCCGAAGCCGACAGTTCAAACAAACCGTGGCCCGCTCCGTTCGCTGGCGCGCGTTCTGACAAAAGTTCGTTTGATCGGACCAGCCAGCGTTAATCCTCTTTGCAGCGAGGCGACGATCGTAGACTTTGGTTACGTTCGCGAGAAAATGGGGGGAAAACACGGGAAACAAAAAGTACTGCGGTGTCGCGCGGAAAGGGTTTTCGATCCGACGTTTGCCGACGTTGGAATTAAAACGAGGGACTTTGGGTACTTTGTGTCGCGAGGTTTGTCTTTGGCGAAGGGAAAAGGATGGGGAAACGCTTCGGATCGCGATTCCGGCGGTTGGTTAGGTCAACGAGAGCGAGGAAGAGGAAGCCTGGACACGTTAGGGAACTCGATAATAAGGCTACATAACGCTTTATTCACCGGGAGTCTATTTATAGGCTTTTCCATTGCAGTATTTAGCTAATCGAATTTATTTACTGCGTTGATGGTTGCCTATGTATAATGTCCAGTGTTTGGAAACAGACTTGGTTCTCAATGTACCCAGTAACAGCATGGAGGAATTACTGTCAGCCTAGATCGGCATATGCTGCTGTACAAAATTCTTTTCTGGATTGAAGACTGTTTCTAAATAGGCCTGTAGATAAAGTGTTAAGGGGACCATGCCTCAGACCCTGGGACACTCGGAGACCGACCATGTACTATCCCATTCCGAAATTTGTTCAACAGCGATCGTTACACGAACATCGAAAAAATAAAATATTCAAGGTGGCCTTGCAATCTCGTAAAATAACCTCAAAAAAGAATTAAGTTCTCGCACCGAAGTCCCTCCTCGAGACAGTATAGCAGCGACTCTAGCGACGAGTTCCAGAGAGGGACTCGCCCACCACGTGGCAACAATCATCCCAAAAATCTGCTCGAGTATCGGTAATCCAGCGCGCGACCGGTCCAATAACTCCTAACAAATTTAATAACCGGCGCCAACGTTTCGGAAGGCCGCGATATTGCGAAACGGGGTTCTCCCGAAAGCGCGAACAATGACCATGTCCCCTTACCCCCGGTTACGCGCGTCCGTACGCGCGCGATCCTATCGCCGACGGAGCCTCCCTTTTTAATAATATTACCGGACCGGATACCGTCTGTTGTTCGCTTTAATCTCGTCCGTTCGTCCAGCCGCTTCCGCAAAAAGGGGCTAAACCGTCGCGGCGACCGCGGAGGGACAGGGATCCTCGGAATAGCGGTGACGGTGGTTGCGAATGGCGGCTGCGAGACGAGCGCGGGGATGGGGGCGCGCGGAGGAGACGAGCGACCGGGATTTTAAACCAGCGGAGGATTATCCGAGGTTTAAAGCGTTTGACCAATAGCGCTGATACTATCCCTTGGTGTTGGGCCGGGGACATTTCGCTGCTCGTCTGCTACTCACGGAATTCTCTGAAGCAGAGGGCGTTGCGAAGGGATAAAGACGTTCGAAGGGATAGAATTTTAGGCTCCTATATGATTACGGTAATTTTATTAATGTGTTATGGGTGCTAGGCTGATATAATTTGGCGATGTGTTCCAGGAAGGACCGTGGAAGTTATTACGGGAGCGACACTAGCGCCGCCCTCGCGATGTCTGCTACTTAATCCAGTTCTACAGGCAGCCACGTGTTCTGGTGAGTGCGTTTTCCTGTCTTACGAGTGTGAGTAACACGTCCTAAATAATGTACGTCTCTTAGTGTAGACTATGTCGCGTGACGATGGTGGGTATATCGAAACAAGAGTAAATACTTAGGTACAAATACAAATTGGGTATATGTATTGTGCAGAGATGAGATGTTGGCTTCTGATTGGTGATAATTTAATCTCCTAAATTAATTTCACAGTGGTAATTAGAATTTCACAGTCTAATATATTCTATAACATAGAATTCTAGACTATAACTATGGTAATTAAATCACAATTAAAGACTGATGTCCGGCACATGTATTGTGTAGAGATGAAAAGATGGCTAGTGATACTATAATATGGAATTCTAGAGTATAACTATAATAATTCAAATCCAATCAAACACTAGTGTCCTGCATACATACTGTGCAGATATGAGATGTCTCACGCCTGATTGGTATCAGAATAATCTCCTAAAATTCAACAAGTATTAAATACTACAACCAAAGTACTAAATCAAGTATCAAAAATTCGAGGATCCTTGATCCATGAAAGATTCTATGTCCTGACGATAGTTTGAGCATTACTGTTCGACATCATGTGTTACCTGCTCCACCCCTTCGAAAAAACCGATCTCGCAGCCTCGAGCCAGGCTCGGAAACGATGACTAAGAAAAATTCCGTCGGTGACGGTGGCTTCGCTATGGTTAAGGTGTCCAGGTGTCCTCGTAAAAAACACGCGCAGCAAGCGAAGAACGAACTCCGGAGGCGAAGGGGACGAACGGATCCGGTTATCGGTTATCCATAAATCGAAAACTGAACGAGCTGACCGTGGTGGATGGGTCATCATAATCCAAACGGACGAGCATCGGTGATCGAGGTTGTACGCGGTCGGAGTGGTGGCTTCGTCGCTGGAAGAACAGACAAAAAAAAAAATACGGGAAGAGGTATATGACGGATCCGCGATGACATATGAATAATAAAAAAGAAAAAAAAAAGGAGAAGAAAAATAACACGTACACGAGTGATGGCGGGAAGGGTACACCTGCGAGCCACGATTCCGAATTAACGACCCACTTTTTTCGACGCCGTTCGTGACGGACGCTCTTCTCTCGTCGACGCGTTCCTTTCACACTGGTCGAATTTTTTTTTTTTTTTTTTAATCGATTTCCGTGAAACGCGAATCGCGTTGAAATTGTTGCGAAAGAAACTCCGCCGTGGCGATCGCAGCGCGGAATATTTTCGAGGTCCGAAAGAAATTCTGATAATTGCTTGTCCGAAACTGTGACGTTGCTATCGGGAGAGAATTCACGGGCGTCGAAAATCAACGCCTAACCCTTCGTTGATTATAGAATATAGCGGACGGGCTTAATCGTCCCGTGGCAGCTTTAAAACGGGCCACTGCGGTCGAGAAAGGCGCGGTTTCGAATTCCATCATCTCTTGCTCGCGAGGCCCGACCATATTTCCTCCCTTTCCCCGTTCTCTCTCCCTCATTTCCCGGTTGGCTGCCACTGTCGGGTTTCCAGCCCTTCGCTCGTTAAATCATTTGTTCTCCGACGCGACGCGCTGGACAGTGGTTGAAGTGCCCCAGAAAACCACTCAAAAGTACGTTTTTTCTAGACTTCGAAATTCCATCAGAAGTGGCGCAGAGTAATCAATAACACGACTCACATCTGGCGAAAGAAGGGGTTGAAATTCAGATAGACCTTTTCTGGACTTCTCGTGTCTCTTTCTGGTTTCGATAACTGGTCAAATTTTCATTTGTTTTTACTTAGTATGACTTCTTTGGGGCGTTCATTGGGTATCGTGCAGATGTTAGATGTTGGCTAGTAGTTCTGATTGGTGATAATTTAATCTCCTTAATTTTATCATAGAATTCCACAGTGTAATACATAGTATGACGTGGAATTCTAGACTGTAACTATGGTAATTAAAACACAATTAAAGACTGCTGGTCCTACATATGTATCGCGAAGAGATGACAAAATGGATAGTTGTTCTGATTGATAAATCATGCCACAGAATTTCACTAAATACACTCAATAAATACCATAATATGGAATTCTAGAGTATAACTATGCTAATTAAAACACGATTAAAGACTAGTGTCCTACAAATATACTGTCCAGACATGAAAAGTGGACAGGTCTGATTGGTAACAGTATAATCCCCGAAAATGCTACAGTATAGTCCAGATCATAGTACAGAATCCTACATATAATTTCCTTGGTTATACTCTTACCAATCAGACTCGCTATCCAACACCTAATCTCCCCACAGTACACAGTTCTTCTCGCTTCGGTAAACTCTTTCTTAGTAAACCCTTTTTTAGTAAACAAATCTTCCCTTCCTAAATCTTGAAACAAATACCTATTTCAATCCATTTCACCTTCCATTTAAATTTTCAACGGCTCACTTCGATTCCTCCTTCTTTAAATTTCGCTACGTCCGTCTTAAATCGAGTTAATTTCGAGACGCCCGTCGAGTAGGTTGTTTATCCGCGAAAAATTAAAACTATCTCGCGAGACCACGAGGAAACAGCCGCCAGGCGCCGACGAGAGGAATTTCTCTGGCAGCGACGGTTGAAAAGTTCCTCCCGTCCTTTCTTTTTGTTTTCCTTTTTCCTTTTGTCCCAGCGGCGCCGGTTAAGCGAATTAGAAACTTCTGCGACCGATAAAATTTTTTCGCCGACCGTGGACGCGGCCAAGTGCAATCCAACGGGAACTTTTCTGCGACTAAGTGCGAGCTGTAAAAAAATTTACAGCGCAAGCCGCTCAAGCCGCGGGGCGAACCTCCACGAAAATTCGAAAATTACGACGTTCAAATGAGAGAAGGCGCCCAGCCATGCACGGGGTGTCCAGAATATTGCAGTCAAGGAATGAAGGAAGAGCTTATATGAAAAAATAAACCGAAATTCTTGAAATTAAATTATTCCTCTCCGAGTTGATTGAAGTTTTTTAGGGAGGGTGGGGAGGGATGGAGAAAATGAAATTAAAGTTGGGTTGTAAAATATTTACCTCGCACGTACGTCAGGACATATTTTATGCGTGTTTTTTGTTTTATTATGCTGTTTCGGATACGATTTGAAACGATTATCGGTATCTCGTGCACGATCATAACGACCATTTTGTCAAACTTGTTCCCCCAGTTCTTTGAAAGTAGTTTCAGCTTGCTAATTTATTTCTTAATTACAGCAAGCGGGGATGGGGTGGGGGTTTAAATTGCTTTCTTCCGGTTTCGTGACACTTAACATTTCAAACGGGAAAATGCCTCGCGCAGCACAACCTGGGCGATTTGCAAGTTGCAAACAGGAGGTCCGGATAAATTATTAAATACCTCTAGGAATTCATTTTTTTTTTTTTTTTTATTTTCGCGTTCTACGTCGCGTGTACCCTGAAAACAACGGTCACGTGACGTAGTGTACCTCGTGAAGAAACAGAGGAAGGAAAGAACGACCGAGATTGTAATTAATTTAAAATTGCATTTTTGAATTCTCAGGAAGAGGAATGTTGCGTTAAAATGTATTGTTTGCTTTCTTGTTACTTTTAAGTGACGTCAAAACGACATTAAAACGTTAAAACGAAGTCATTGTTACTGAAGAAAGACACCATGGAAATATTTAGAAAATAGGAGATAGAAGACGATAGAATTTTTCTTGAAAAGATGTACTCTACATAAAGCCTCCGTAAACAAAGATTTTCAATTTAAATAAACAGAATTTTGCGATACAATTTTCCAAACGCGATCCATTACCGAAAGTTCTGAACCTATTTCCAAAATGACCAATTAATTCGCGAAGGTATTCTCAAGTAAAATGTTCAAAAGTTCCTAGTTAAACTGTTTATACGTATATAAAATATTACAGAAAAACATTACCTGCCTAGCAAGACTGTTTCATCGTCTCCAGTCCTAACTCAGAGCCTCTCGAAAACCATCCCCGGAGAACGTTCTCGCGTCTCCCGCTGGTCAGTCTTCTCTCGAAACCACGGTCCCCGAATGTATCGCCCCTTGGTCCACGATGCGGTTCACCGAGATCGAAAATAAAATGTAATTCCGCGCGGCGCCCACGTGATCTCCGCGAACGTCCCCGAGTGTGTCGCGAGGGAACGAATACGTACATCAACCCTTGCGAGGGTTGGCGCGGTTTCTCTGGAGCGGGAGGGGGCGCGAGACGGTCTCCCAGCGAGGGTCGCGGGTTCGTGGACGGAGGTCGACGGGCGCGAAGGGGGGCCGCGTCTGGGTTACGAGCTTAGCCGCGTCGGCCAGCTCATTTGCATATTTTAATCTAACGGCAAAAAGTCGCGCGACTGCTACTTCTCCCTTTAGTACGCGGATGCGAATCGCATTTCGAATCGCGGTTGGTTCATTATGGAGGCTATGAATTCGTGTACAGTAAAGAGTGGATAAGTGCAAGACATGATCGACTAGATAACTGCGAGATGACTATCCTCACCACTGGAGGGGTTAGGCCGATCGCACACGGCGCAACCAATCAGTTTCAAACCACTCTGAAACTAGTTGCATGCGAACGTGGATCTAGGTAAAACAAAGATAGTGGAGTAGGTAAAACAAAGAGCGCAAACGGTTTGCAACACTAATTTCAAATCGGTTGCGCCGTGTGCGATCGGCCTTCAGTAGATAAAACAAGGAGCGCAAACGGTTTGCAACACTAATTTCAAAATGGTTGCTCTGTGTGCGATCGGCCTTTCTTGCATTGGTTCCCTCATGACGCTGAGTGTAATATGATCCCAATCAATTGCTACGCTTTCACCCGCTTTTCTTTACTGCTTTTCTTTTCCTCGGATCTCTTTCTCTATCACTCTCTGTCCTTTCTACGTTGGACTCGAGTCAAATGTAAACACGGAATAGAAACCTCGACTGAATGACTCAATGTTCCAGTCTCTTATCGTCCACCTATCGGAACGTTTTCCACTCGAAATACAAAATGACTTGGACCTCGTGGAAGCGATCGAGATTAAATTACTAGCGTTGTCGTGGATCCGAGCGA